CAAATTAGGAGTATCTACTATAGCTAGTATAAGGAACCTCCCAAAATAGTATAGATAATCATTAAAGCCCCTGTCTTGCCTCAAGTTACTATCGGGGACTGAATCTGATGATTTCTAGGTATAGTCCTTAGTGACAGGGCATTGGGCTCTCTGAGTTTGGAAGGCGGTTACCAAAAGCCCAGCCGCAACCAACAAAAACACAACCAAAAAACTCCGTCGGGGCATATACTCTGGACCAGATTCATTATGGATCAAGATGCCCTCAACTTGCAATATGAGCATCTGAATCATCACACTCACTGCAACCCCTATATGAGTATACTCGAGCTTACACCAACTCCCGCTCATGTCATAAAGAGTCTCCATTTTATCCCTCTAGCATGAACCCCAAAACCTCAAAGTCCTTGCAAAACCCTTATGAAGCCCTTATATACACTGGGTTCCTCCACTTCATAATACGGGTGCCTGTGTTCCTACTATTCGGGGCTTCGTTTCTAATGAGGGAACCCTCCAACAAAAAGTGCAATAGGGTACTACTGACAAAGCCTAAACCCTAAACCCCTACTTAAAGGATCATGGGACTTAGTAACTAGGGTTATATATAAATAAGGTATCTTTACATATAACCCCAATTAGGGTACTTATATCCTTACTTACTAAGTCCCCTGATCCTTTAAGTAGTACAAAAGAGGCTATAAAAGCTCTTAGCCCCCGCGCTCGAACTCCCAGCCCTGCTCGCACTCTCCACAACTGAGCCTGCGCAGAAGAAGCGGATTTGCTGAGGGCTTCTTGGGGAGTGACCTGCTGTTTCAAGAAGTTGCAAATTTCCAGAAGTTTCTTGAGGATTCTCATGGTTGTTTATAGTCTCCTAAAGATTTGTAGGCTACTCAGGCTTTTTGTCGGATGGCGCTGCGCGGACAGAGTGGTAACACTATGGGGTGCTTTCCTGAAGTGTAAACACAAGTGATTGAGGTGGCCGCGCGGTGCACACAGGCAGTTGGCTCCCCGCAGCCTGTTTCTGTCTGTTCTGTTCCGGAGACCTTGGAAACACAAAACTGTTTGGATGTGGGGTTTAGGGTCTAAGCGATTAGGGTTTGAGAGCCTTTTCTGTGGGGTTTGGAGTTTATGGTTCGCTGCGGATCCAAAACTCTACTGTTTTACCGGCCGAAACCCTATCAGCTGGTAGTGCTGGATAAGCCTCGCCTTACGAGCTTAGGTGTCGAGGGTTTAGGGTTAAAAGGGACTTGGGGGTTGAACTTTGTAGGGCCGGGTTTATATCAGGGCGTAGGGACTCAGGATTTGGGGATTTAGGTGACTGAGGGCATCGGGGCCTTCCTTTTAGGGAACCCAAGCCCTTTAAGTAAGGCATTTCCCGTAAATCACGGGGTGGCTGATGCAGTGCAATCGATTTTACAGAGGATTCTGGATTTCAATCCTTCCCCTATAATTCAGACAATCTGATGATTCTAGGGGGGATCCTTCATAAAAGACCCCTACGTAAGGGATATTGGAGCTTGTGGCTGGGTTCTTGCATCCACATTGACTGGTTTCTTGATAAGTTACCAGAACAAGGAAACTCTGAGGCAATACTCGAGATCCCGGTTCCAGTCGCCGAATCTCCCCTGTATAATCAGAACCCAGATGAGGGCAGTTGGGGAGTATGGACATGATGCATGACAAATGGCATGGGTGTCCATGCCCCGTTTCTGTGGCTGTGAGCTGAGTTTGTGCGTTTAGGGTGTAGAGCTGTGCGGCAACAATGTTGCTCTGAGTTGCCTTTAAGCCCTTTGAAAATTATTTACTATTATGGTTCTTTACAAAATAGTAGAGGAAATTAAAAAAGATCCCAAAGGACAACCCAGTGCTTGAAAGTCCGAAGGCCGGTCTTGATTGAGGATGCTGAACAGAATGATTGCAAAAACAATCAAACAACGCCTGCAACAAAAGCGCAGTGGAAAAAGCCACGATACTTCCACCAGAACGAGAAAACCACACCACAGCCCAACTTCAATGAAAACTCTAATGAACCCAAAAGCGATGAAAGGTCGGGCTTTGCTGTGGCGTCGTTGCAGTTGTCGGCGCCGCGGACCTTCTTGAAGCGGTTCAGGATTTGGATCTTCGGGGGTTTAGGGTTTTGGGATGGGGGTTTTCGGGATTTCTGGAAGGGCAAAGGTTGAGGGGCAAGACATTGTGGAAAGTATCAGTTGCGCGAACGCTTAGTTCCGGGCATCGTATTTCCTTGCAGAAAGAACCGCTGCCTTAACAATTCGGCACAGTATACTGTATACTATAGTTACTATAGGGTCCTTAAGAAATAGAATGGGGTTTTGGTACCCATTCTACTGTAAATATGATCAGGCAGCCCCAAAATAGTATCGGTCATTCTGAAGGCCCCTATACGAGCGTATAACTCCAGCGTAACGCGGGAGGGCCCAGAATCGGCCAAAATCCCTGAACCATAACAACTCCGTCTCCGAACCCATACTTGAAGCATCATCGGACTTAGTAACTTAGGGCTGGAAATAAAGGAACCATACATAAAGTTCCTTGCACAATAAATCCTCTGATCCTGCAAGTCTTGAACCTTAACCCCACAGAAACCCCACGGGGCTGAGAAGGAAGGCTTCAGGGCTTGCGGTGGCTTCTGACAGTTTAGGGCGTAGGGTTTAGGGCTTACGTTTTCGGGTTCAGGGTTTTAGGGTTCGGGGCTTAGGGTTTAGGGATCAGACCGGGCTACGGCTTCCACCGTCTAGTTTTGCTTTGGACCTTACGGGATTGAGGGTTTAGGGATGAGGGCGTGGAGCTTAGTCTAAGCGCTCAGACTCCAGGGTTCATGGTAGCCAGGAAGGACGTGTTTCAGTCTCCATGCCGCCATGCCTATCGTGCTTGAGGATCCCGCTATGACCCCACCCGTCCCTACTTGGAGGATCATGGGACTTAGCAAGTAAGGTTACAAGTACCTTAATTGGGGTTATAAGTATAGTTACCCTAATTATAACCCTAATTACTAAGTCCCCTGATCCTCCAAGTAGCCCCCGCTTCGAGATTAAAAACTTATGAAGATGAGACGGAAACAGCTCGAAACTCGTAAACCCGAAACCGGGGTTATAAGTACTTAGAAGTATAGTTACCTTATTTATAACCTTAGTGACTAAGTCCCATGACCCTTTAAGTAAACCCTGAAACGCCAAAACCCGAAAACACTAAAACCCTAACACCTCAAAGCCCGAACCTTACCTTTGGTAAGTAGGGAATGGAGGAATGGGACACCATTATAACTACTATTACTACCATTCTTCCATTCCCTGCTAAACAAAGGTTATAAGTACCCTAATTGGGGGTATAAGTACTTAGAAGTATAGTTACCTTATTTATAACCCTAGTTACTAAGTCCCATGATCCTTTATGTAAACCCTGAAACCCCGAAACACTAGAACACAAAAACCTTAACACCTCAAAGCCCTAACCCCTAAAAAGGCATAAGTATACTTACTTATTTATAACCCGAAATACTAAGTCCCATGATCCCTTAAGTAACCCCGAAAAAGGCGGCGCCCTGGATGAGCCAGGGCCCTGGCCGCCACCACGCGCTCGGCGCAGTGTGGAAGGCCACAGGTCAGGCCGCAGAAACCGCCTTCCAGACCGCTTCGCGCAACTATCTACGGGCTAAAGGGATCCTTAAAGGGATCTATAGGGTTTAGGGTCTACGGGTTTAGGTTGTTTTTTGACTGCCTGTTTGCAACTGCAAAGCAGATGAAATCCCTCCGAGGGCTTAGGGTTTAGGGTCTAAGGACGTAATGTAGGAACCTGATTACTACAAGGGTTACTATAAGGGTTTAGGAGTTTGGGGTTCAGGGTTTAGGTATCCATCTACATACATCCATACATCCACCCATGAATGCACGTAATTACATACGTAGATGTGCATATGACAAGTATCTGCACCTAACAATGATACAAGTACTGGATTTACATCTCTATGTATACTAGGATGTGTGTGTGTGTGTGTGTGCACATATATACATACATACTCCTCCTCTTTGCATCATCGGTCTATCCGGAGATCCATTCATCCATCCATGCCTGCATGCAAATACATACGTACAGACAGGAACAAATGCAGGGCTGACTTGTGCTTGTTTTGAGGCTTGGGTGCGTTCTTCCACCGAGTCACTGGCTCGTTTGCTTGGGAATTTACAGGGAGTCAGGCACATGAACTCGAAACCCTAAACCCTAAACCCTAAACCCTAAACTTTAAACCCGCAACCCTTTAAAGTTCTCGGTTCCGGGTGCAGCTTTTGTCTGGCAAGCACCGACTGTCAGCCTAGGGTCAATGCATTGCGGCCATTTCCTACGGCTGGACCGAGATCGACCAATCAATCCTTCATATATACATCTATGCATCTATACATATATACATATACACATATACATACATAAACATATACACATGTATACATATATATATATATGTATGCTAGAAAATTAAACTGTGATCTTGAAGCCGATTCCTTGAAGATTCTTTGAAGCAGGACATCGACCTATTGAGCTCCACCACATTCAACCCGAAACACGAAACTATGAACCTTAGGTGCCAAGTGTGATTGAAATCCACAGACCAGAGGTTAGGGCCAGGGTTTCGGGCTTATGGCTTAGGGTTTCATATAGGGTTTAGGGTTTAGGGTTTAGGGGCCAGGGTTTCGGGGTTACAGCTCAGGGTTTCACATAGCAGCCTTGTCTTCGTAATCCGGACTTTGAAGTAACCATCCAGGAAAAAGTATGAACGTGTATCCCATAAGGGCTCCTGTAAGGACCGGGTCCAAGAAAAGCTTTCAAGTATGGTGCTTCAGAATAGACCCCAAACGACGGAGACCTTCTGGATAAGGAGCTCTTTTTCAGGAACCCTAAACCCTCAACCCTAAATTGCCCTAAGCCCTAAACCTCAGAAGGTAGGCTCTTGAGGGTTTAGGTGAACCCTAACAGCAGCGCGCAAGCCCGGCTCAAAGCTCAATTTGATTGAAGAAGCTGCTCAACTCGCTGTCTTCCGAGTGTCCGAGCCTCTCAGGGAGTTTCTTGGTTCCTGCGTTCCGTCAAGAATTCCTGTCAAGGTTCGTCTAAGAGCTCCTTTCAGAGTTCGGGTCAGAGTTCATGTAAGAGCTCCTTTAAAGGTTTAAACCGAGGACTAGAGTGGAGAAAAAATGCTGCAACACCGAGGAGGGAGGTATAACTATCCCTTCACCACTGCTCTAGGATGTTAGGGTAGGGCATGCCAATCTTGCGGCTTTTTCTGAAGTATATTAAACTCTACAAACGCATTAAGACTCTCATCAAGCGCGACTCCTTCTAAAAATCTTGCAATACCTTATGTACAACAGTCTACAAAACATTATAAATCCCCGTACAGAAACCTCATAAATTCGGTGAAACACCACCATCCAAACATGAATAATCCGACAAGAAACCTTCAAGATTGCGGGGCCCAAGCCCTAAGCTTGCCCCTGAACCCCCCCAAACCGTGAAACCCTACAACCCTAAATCCCTAAACCCCTGACCCTCTGCCGAGTCGCTCCATGGCGACCACCTCGGGCTTCATCTTCGTGTGCGGCAAAGGCTCGAAGATGCGCAGGTGGACGAAGCTATCGCTGCCGACCTGCACCTGTCAATGGTGTGCTTGGAGGGTCAGGGGACTTAGTAAGCAAGGTTATGAGTACCCTACTTGGGGTTATATGTACTTAATCCCTTCCCCCCAATATTAAAGGCCCCCCCTAATATAAAAACTGGATTTCGGAGGTTTAGTTTTCATATTACGGGGGGTTTCGGTTCGGTGCATCCACGTACCCGGACTCCCAGCTGCTAGCTATCCAAAGCCTGGAACCCGGAAGCGATTATAGGTATAGTTACCTTATTCATAACCCTAGTTACTAAGTCCCATGATCCTTTAAGTGGAGGTTTGCAGTTTTTGGGGCTTAGACCTGCACCTGTCAAGGGTGTGGAGGTTTACCTGGACCACCCGAAAGATGTAGAATTAAAGACATGTAGAGGTGCTGGGCCAGTATGTGACCTGTTTGTGGGGGTTTAGGTAGGGTTCATGGCTTTCCATGATTTAGGGCTTCAGGATTCTGGGTTGCGGATTTAGGAGTCCACCTTCGCACACAGGGTCTTATAGAAGCTTTACAGGGGCTTTGTGAGGGTCTTAGGAAGTCTTATGAAGGAGTTTGGAAGGAGCGATAAGGATTTATGAAAGCTGCTTGAAGGGCACTATGACGGTTCGACCTTGTAGGGCTTACAGGGTGTGGAGGTTAAGGCTTTGGAAGGCTTCCATACGGGGTCGTTGGTCTGTGTTGAAGAACTTTGTGAGATATAGGCATTGATAGACCCTGTTATAGCCCACTTCCCGACCCCACTGAGCATGATCCGTCAAGTAGGCCGGCATCTTAGACCCTAAACCCTGGACCCTAAACCCTGAACCCTGACCCCCCAACCCTAAACCCTGAACCCTAAACAGACCCCGAACGCAATCTGGCCAAAGAAGCCCTTCATCGGATCCGGGAGCGCCACATCCAAGCCAATTCAGCAAAGGGTTTAGGGCTTGGGGTTTAGACTCCTGTCCCTCGGTAGCGTTTAGGGTTTAGGGTTTAGGGTTTGGGGCTTCAATTCCTATCCCTCGGTAAAGTTTAGGGTTTAGGGTGTAGGGTTGAGGGTTTGGCTCCCTCGATAGAGTTTAAGGTTTAGGGTTTGGGGTTTACTTGGAGGGGCAGGGGACTTAGTAAGTCGGTTATAAGTAGAGTTATAAGTACCCTAAACGGGTACCCTAAACCCTAAACCCTAAACCCAATTATAACCCTACAAAGGACTTACTAAGTCCCCTGGCCCTTCCAAGTAGACCCTAAACCCTAAACCCCATAGATCCCTTTCAGGAACCCTACAGATCCCTTTAAGGAGCCCTAGAGATCCCTTTAAGGAGCCCTATAGATCCCTTTAAGAACCCTATAGATCCCTTTGAGGAGCCCTTTAAGAACCCTTACTAAGTCCCCTGGCCCTCCAAGTAGACTCCCTCGGTACTTGGAGGCTCATGGGACTTAGTAAGTAAGGTTATAAGTAGGTTATAGTTAGGATAACCCCACTTAGGGGACTTATAATCCCAGTTATAACCTACTTACTAAGTCCCATGATCCTCGAAGTCGACCCTAAACCCTAAACCCCTAAACCCCTAAACCCTAAACCCCAAAACCCTAAACCAAACCCTATAGATCCCTTTAAGGAACCCCCTTAAAGGAGCCCTTCTCCTTATAGATCCCTTACTCCCTCGGTAGAGGCTTAACCGAAACTTTGAGCATCAGCCTCGAGCCCGATTGTTGTGAAATCTGGATCTCTGCCATACCCAAACGGGAGTTTCCGAAAAAATAGGGGTACCTGTAAAGGGATCTATAACCTAGTGGCTGAGTATCCTAGCCCAAAAAAGGTTAAACTTTTAACTATGGTAGGATCATAAGAGCCCCAAAAGTTTAAAGATTACCTACTCAGCCCCTAAGATAAGGGTTCCTGTAAGGGTTCTTTAAAGGGATCTATAGGGTTTAGGATATGGGAGTTTCCGAATATTAGGGGTACCCTTTTTTGGGGGGTCCTTCTAACAAGGATCCTAGTATTTAGGGTGCTATATTAGGGTCCCCTCTTTTCGGAAACTCCCATCTGGATATGGCAGGGACCCCAAAATAGTACCCTAAATAGGAGGATCCTTGTTATATATATAAGGACCCCAAGATAAGCTAACCCTAATTTTCGGAAACTCCCATGTGTATATCTGCCGCACCCAAACCCCGAAACCCAAAACTCCTCGTGAACAAGACCGCCAATCAGACCAAACACCAAATCGTGTAACAAAACCACCAATACTTAGTAACCTTGAAGGGATCTATAGGGTTCTTAAAGGGATCTATACGGTTTAGGGTTTAGAGTTTAGGGTCTACTTCAAGGATCCGGGGACTTTGTAACTAGGGTTATAAATACGGTAACTATACCTATAACCCCATTTAGGGTACTTATAAATCGTAACTTACTAAGTCCCCTGACCCTAACCAGATGGAAACCCCCAGCCTGAACCCCTAAAAACACAAACGCCAAAGTATAGAACCTTAAACTCTAACCCTGAACCTTAAGCCCACACCGAAAGCGTGGCGTCTCTTGGATACTTTGAAGGGGTCTGGGCACAAGCTCTCTCCCGGTGGAGACCTTGACAAAGTAAGTTCGGCCAGCAACGACCTGGCTTCCAGGCTTGCGTATTTAGGGTTCATGGCTCGGTCAGGGTGCATGCCCCTAAACCCTACCCTTAGCCCGGGATAACCTACCTTTTTGAGGATTTATATAAAGAAATCATATCACCCTAATTAAAAAGGTAGGTTATGCAGGGGGGTGAACTGTAGGGTCCAAAGGTATACTGTACGAGACCAAGAATACCTGGGTCCCGGTTGAACAAATCCTGCGCCAGCGGTGAGGCCCAAACTGAGGGCGTTGGGAAGAAGATCTGGAAGAGTCTACGGTTCAATATCGAAGTCTGCGCAGCAATAGAATCGCCTTTGTCGTTCTGCATACAACCATTCCATCATACCCCAAAGTCTAACAGCCTTACATCTATGTCTAAACTTAAAACTGTCTACTAGTTGTTAGACCTTTACGTAAGCCCCGGGATTGAGTTTCATCAGGGGTGCTCCTCGACACTCAACCCCAAACCCCAAAACCAAACCTTAAACCCCAAACCCTTAACCTAATGCCCAAGCGGTACCGACAGCTCCTCAACTAACGGTTAGGGTTTAGGGTTGATAAAGGGAGCCTGATAAGTCCAATACGAGTTCCTGTTAAAGAGTTCTTACAAGGTTACTATACAGGTTTAGTTGGTGTTGGGGTTTTAACACTTAGAACAGTGTTTGTTCCAGGACAGGTATCGTTGGCCTTCCCATTGCTGCTATGATCAAAGCAAGACTCTTTGTTCAAAGGGTAATCGGCTGTGAGGGTTCCAGGCCCTTCAACTACCCCCGAAATCCATCTTCAAACTTTGGGTTTTTGGGGTTTTGGACTTTGGCGCGGGGTTCTGGAGTTTTAATTGGTTTGGGGCATCTGTGATTTTGGACTTGGGGCTCTTAGGGCCTGGAGTCGTGGGTTTCGGGCAGGGCCTCATCTAAGACAACCCTAAACCCTAAACCCTAAACTCGCTAAACCCTAAACCCTAAACCCTAAACCCTAAAACCCTAAACCCTGAACCCTGAACCCTAAACCCTAAACCCTAAACCCTAAACCGTAGGGCCTCATCTAAGACACCCGCTGGGCTTCCGGACCTGTGTCTTGAAGGAAACCGCTTTCCATATTTCGAAGTCTGCCCCGGAGTAGCCGCGTTTTTGGGCCTGCGAAGCACTCAATCTTTTATAGGGAGCCTTAAAAGGGGGGTGGGGGTGGGGGTAGGGGGCCTTAATGCCCATAAACACAATCAGAACCTCCCGAAGCCGATTTAAGGAAGTGTCGTCCCCTGCTCCCCTCAAACCCTAGACCCTATCCCCTTAAGGGTCCCTATCCCCTCTCCCCCTCACGGGGTAAGGGTCCCTAGGTATCTTGGTGGCTCAGCTGTGCAAGAGCTCGGTGTGAGGCACTGAGCATTTGGGATCTCAACCATAAATAATAGGGATCTATAATGAGGGCTCCTTTTAAGGGATCGATAAGGGGCTTTTTATTGAAGGTTTAGGAATTTAATTTAAGGTACCATCATAGGGGTCTAGAGTAAATGATATGGCTCCCTTTTATGGTACCTTAAATTAAATCCTTTAGCAAGAAGCCAGTAAGCCCTAAAGCCCCCAACTCCAAACCCGAGCAAGCACTAGGCTGTCGGTTGGGGTTTGGGACTTGAGTGTTATAAGGTTTGGGATTCGGGTTTCAGATCAAGCCCTTCAAAGCCGGGACCCTGAAACCACGAAACCCCATGAGCCTAAACTCCTAAACCCTAAACCCTAAAAGCCTAAACTCCTAAACCCTAAACCCCAGAAGCCTAAACTCCTAAACCCCACATACCGTAAGACCCGAAAAGCCTACAACCCGGAAACCTCAACACCCGTGTCGGACCCCGTAGAGGAGCCCTTGTAGATCCCTGAAAGGAGCCCTTTGGGACCTCCTAGGCCTTGAAATTGGAAAGACAGATCCAAGGGTAAAAGGAGGGACCCTTAATAAGGACCCCTAGGTATATACCCTTAATATAGCTATCATAGAGCCATTATATAGCCCATTATAGGCTAAGGGTCCCCATTAAAGGTCCCTCCTTTTCCCCTTTGAACAGAGATTCAAGGCCACAAGAAGTGAAATGATATTGGTAGGGTCAGGACCACATGTGTAAAGACGCTTGGCAATGTTTGGCATTGCCCCACCATAGGGATCCTTAGGGGGGAGGGGTGTAGGGGACTATATTTCCTTAAATAGGCCTTATTAGTCCTTATTATGGGCATTAAGGCCCTCTACCCCCCCTCCCCCTTACACCCCTAAGGATCCCTATGACCCCACCTTCATCCCAGCCCTGGAGCCCTTTGAATGGCAGCCTTGGCGAGAGCCGACGCCCGAAGCGGCTCTATGAGATTTTGGATCTCAGCAGTCGCTTCCTGCGTTTGGACCGGGCAGGGTTCGTTGAGCGTTTTCGGATTTTGCGGTGTAGAATTTCTATACTGAACTTAGAACCCTAGCAAAAATTGCAAGTTTAGCTGTTTCTTAGCGATTATAATAACCAAAAATTAAAAAATACCTCTAAGCACCCCTAAGGTTTAAGGTATTGAAATTGCAATCTTTAAGGCCCAGGCTTCGGGCTTCGGGTTTGAGTTTTTTTGATTAAGTGTGTTGGGGCCCTTTCTCCTGCAGAAGTCCCACCCAGTGTTTGGGTTCACACTACACAAAACAAAAAGATTTTAGGGTTTGGGGTTCCTGGTATTTCTGTTAAAGGTATGGGGGCTAGGGTGTTGAGCTTTGCTGTTAAAGGTTTGAGATTTGGGATTTAGGGTTCCAGAGAACCCGATTTGCCCATGAACCCCTAGGGTTCCTCTCAAGGGTGCTTTTTGGGTTTAGGGCTTATAAGGGTTGCTGTAAGGGGTCTTATGGGGCTATTATTTAGGGGCTGAGATATCCATGTTCAGATATTATTCGACTGCTACTGAACCCTAAACCCTAAACCCTAAACCCTAAGGGGTTTAGGGTTCAGGTGTCGAGCAAAGAGCTTATTACCTTCAACTACCACAAATTTGATTTTATGGTAGGGTCCGTGCAAACTCTAGACTTTAGGGTTTATCATAAGAGCCGGCCTACAGAAACTGTAGCTTCTGGTAGTTTAAGGTAGGGTTCAGGGGTGACCACCTTGATCGTCCACAACCGCCGTACCTTGCAATCGTGCAAAGACCTCCGTATACACGTCCCCGGCAACAATCCTGAGTTTCACAGACCCTACATTCAACCCCACAGCAGCCCTGCACACAAACTCGTCTCAGCATCATCGGACTAAAGCATGCCTCAAAACCCTGCTGCAAGTCCTAAGGCCCTCCAACTAGACCACAGACGCCCAGAAAAACATATAAAGAACCCTAGGACCTAGCCTACCCTGCGAAGACCCCCAAAAGACTATAAACCCTCAAACCCTCAACCCTACACCCTAAACCCTCAAACCTTACTCGCTGCCTGGGCCGCGCCCAAGCCGCCCACTGCGGCGCCAGGAGTTAGAAGCGAAACTAAGAGAATCCAGGAAACCAGCCGAGCCATGGCTGCAGCCTGGTCCTTTTAGAAATAATAGACAGAGCCGTATACCTATATCCCTTAGTAGGAATTATTTAAGAAGGTCTACTAGCCGGTCTGTTTATTCTTTTGGGGGAACCATGGGTGTTGGTCTGTGTGATTCTTGAGCCCTATGCAGCCCCGTACGGGCTTTACAAGGCGTGAAAGGATTCGTTGTAGAGGTACTAAACCAAGACCCAAGAGAAACGAGGAACAAAACTGGCGCCCTTTTTGGTTTAAAGGGGCTTACAAGGAAACCTGAACCCTAAAAAATGGAATAAGGGCCTACTCTGGATCCTACATTACTCGTATTATAAGTGTAACTACAACTACGGTTGATGATATAAATCCTGCATTACCCATAAGAAGGAATATACCATAATTCCCAAAGTTTAGGGTCCTTAAGGTAATGCAGAATTTATATCATCAACCGTATTACTATTCTCTTTCATTAGGGACTCAGAGAGCTATCCACGGATTCTGCACCGGCTCGACCAACCACAACATGCATGGCCTGGCTTGTCGAGACCTCTCTGAAGTTGTAGAATGGACTCACAGGGCGTAGTAATCTACAAGGGTCCACGAAGAAAGCGTTTCTATAAGGTTTTTACTCAGTTGTGCAGCGGGAAAGGGTTGTGAGTCTACGTGTTGTGGCGTAACCCTAAACCCGTAAAAACCCTAACCCAAGTGTTAAGGGTTGCAGGCTCGAGGCTTTCGGAAGTGTCTGTCGAAGCTTAAGAGCTGTAGCATAGGGTTTAGGGTTTAGGTTTTGGGGGTTTGGGGCTTAGGATTTAGGGTTTAGGGTTTAGGGTTTAGGGTTTAGGGTTGCATGGCTGTCGGCTGGTCTTCAACGTGCAGGAGAGCCGACAAGATTGCTACCGGATCTGGAAGAAATATTGCAAACACTGCTAGTAGTCGCCGTCATCGTAGCAGTAGTTGATGCGGTTGCAGTTGTAGTTGTCGTTGTTGTTGAGTGTTGCTGCTGTTGTTGCTGCTGCTGCTTCTGCTGAAACTGCTGCCGCTGCTGCTGCTGCTGCTGTTCTTGCTATTGTTCACCTCAACATTACTAATGCTAGCACTGTGACTATTACTAGTACCATGGCTACGACTATGGCCATGATACTAATACGAGTACAAGTACTATTACTATTGCTACTATTGTCATTTTTGTTGTCGTTGCTGTTGAGGGCGGTGCTTGTTGCCGGATTGATCGTTTGATTGTTTGTGTGCTTGTTTGTCTGTTCGTTGGTTTGTTTGTTTGCTTGGTTGCTTGCTTGCTTGCTTGGCTGCTTGTTTGTTTGCTTGTTGCCACGACAAAATCTGACCGTTGATGCAGTCGATCGGCAGTGATGATGCTGACGATACGCAATGCCCCAGTTCTGAGCACAAACCATAAACCCTAAACCCTAAACTCCTAAACCCTAAAACCCTAAACCCTAAACCGTAAGTATTCTGCAAGACGGTGGCCATGGTAGTAGTTGCTGTGCCTGGCTTGAGACGTGAATGCAGCGCACAGAAAGCTCCGAACCTCTCAGTTGTCAAAACAGCCTGCAGTGCGCAGCCTTGATGCGCACATGCATGCGTGTCTACGTAGACTCCATCCATCTATCCATCCATCCATCCATGCATGCATCCATCCAATCATGCAGTGCATGCATGCATGCATACATCTGTACCTGTTTAAGCACCGACACACATGTAGCCCTCGCGGGGTCAGTATGTATATGTACAGGTCTGTGTATATAGAACATAATTGTCTATTTGTAAGCGTGTACGTGTGCACGTAGTGTATGCACATATGCATGCGTGCATGCCTGCATGCGTGTGTTGCCTATGTATGTATGCATGTATGCACGGCTTTATGTATGTATGTAAATATGTATGTATGAATGGCTACGATGTATGTATATACATATTATGCATGTAGCGCAATGTGATGTAGTGATGTACTGTAGTGAGTTTAATTATACTGTAATGTATGTGCAAGCTTATGGATCCCAAAGCCCAAAACCAAAACCCTTCTTGGCAAGGTAAGAACAGCCTTTCGAGTCAACGGAGGCGGTGTACTTCTCCGGGCAGCCTGGAATGCGTAGGATGTTTAAGGTTTCAGGTTTGGGATTTGGGAGCGTAAGGTTTAGGGTTTAGGCTGTAGGATTTAGGGCGTGGGGTGTCTTTGTGTTTGGGCGGATGTCGGGGTGGTCGAGTTCGTGACAGGCGCTGGTGGGCTTTGTGGGGCAGGGGTATACCCTTAAACCCCAAGCACTGAAGTCCTCATCCCTAAACAACAAACCCGGCACACCCTCAACTCCTGAACCCTGATCTCTTAAGCACTTTGGCCCCAAGCCCCTCGAGAAGAAGAAAAGGATACCACATGTAGTCTTCCGCCAGCCGCCCTTATGCCCCGAAACTAGGATCCTTCTGTTTAGGTGCTTTTTGGATCCCTGATATCTCACCCCAGTTCCAGCTGCAAACCTACAACCTCCTCCCGCTCGGGTCGATGCAATTCAAACACCCGTCAGGGGTTCGGGTTTAGTGGTTTTGGGTTTGGGGCTTCTACCCGCCCAAAGCCCGCAAGATTCAACCCAGCCTGCATAGGCTCAGACGCTCGCCCTTTTGCAAACTGCTAGGCTGCACCTCTGCGTAAAGCGGCTTTTTTTGGAGTCCTCTTCCCGGCCGCGGCCGGGGTTTCACTCAAAGCTTGTCCACGTGACGCGACCCTCCAAGCGGGCAGTCCAGGTGCCCTCACCTGCATCAATGAAAGCTCGGCTGTCGGGTTCGGGTTTATTTGGTGGGCTAAAAGCGCCACTCACTATATGGGTAGTTGTCAAAAATAAGGTCCCTTTTTTGGGTACCCTAAATATTAGATGCCGTAATATAATACGGAACCAAAAAGGGAACATGATTCTGACAACCACCCCTATACCCCGAACATCCCCGAACCCTAAAACCTGAACTCCAGCATCCTAAGCCGTGCTGCAGGGCTCTATAGTAGAAGCCAGAAAGTTGGAATATGGTTTCAGGGTAGGATACCTTATAATTTACCACAAAAGGTTTAGGATAACCATATTCCAACTTTCTGGCTTTTACTGTATGCTTTATGGTTAAATGCTTAGGCCTCGTGGCTTCAGCTAAGGCCCGCGTTTCGCGGCGAGTCTCAGACTACGCCGAGGTTGCGCCGGGCTTGCAGACGGAAGCTGCTTCCTCGGAGTTTGCTTTGCCTTGTCAAAGGGCTCAACAGGGGTGGGAAGAAGGTAGGTGGAGTAATCCCAAATTTACGAGTCCTTATATAAGGGATCCTTGATCCTACCTACCTTCTATAAGGGATCCTTAATCCTACCTAGCTTCTATAAGGGATCCTTAATCCTACCTAGCTACAGCCCAGCTTTTGAGGCCCCGCACCTTGGCATGTAGGAGGACTCGCATCTGCAGCGCCACCTCCAGCATGGCATCCTGGGTTTTGGTTTAAACAGGCATGGTTAAGGGTTTAGGGTTTAGACCATCACTTCTCTAGGAACCTCTATAAGAATGGCATTTCAACTTAGTTCTGAACAAAAACATAAATCCCCAGTATGCTAACATAATTAGCCCAAAAGATTGGCAACTTAACTTAGTGCACGGGTCGGAAGAAGTACATATGTTAGTCCTCATGGCACTGTATTATAAGTACACCACACTATACCCGCAAAACCCCAATTGAAACTATCATGGGCCCTCAAACTGCATTCCTCAACCTAGCTACCTAAATACTGAAACATGGAGCCGAATCCCTTTTTTGCGGCATCTGAAAGTCATCTGCCATAATGGCGGATATACCCCAAACCCTAACCCCTAATTGTTCCGAGAGAAGAACCCTTACAGGATCCCTTGAAGGACACCTGTAGATCCCTTCAAGGTACCCTTGAAGGATCCCTACAAATCGTTTGAAAGGGGACCCCTTAAAGGACCCCTATAGATCCTTTAAAGGCACCCTCAAAGGGCCCTTTTTGATCCCTAAACCCTAAACTCTAAACCCTAAACCCTCAACCCTAGACCCTAAATCCTACACCCTCAACCCTGAAACCCTAAACCCTAAACCCTAAAACCCTAAACCCAAACCCCCCATATAGTTGTTGTAAACCACTGCACACACGCACTGATAATAACCCGTCCAAGTGTTAGCAAGTAGCGCACGATACCATTAGGTAGCTACACCTTTTTCCTGCTAGAGCACTTGTGCCACAACGTCACCACACAACATGCTACTTCACACGTGCACAAATTACACCCCCCTCGCCGAAGCGTCAGTCTGAGGCGCAAACATGCACGGAAGATTGGTGCTGTGTGGCCTGCCGTAAAGGCGGCTGGATTGTGGCTCGGGGCTCATGGGCTTTCTACTACCGTAAAGCGGAAGATACGGAAGCAGATTAATTCTTTTAGCGCGCAGTTTAAAGTCGCGACATGCATTATAAAGTGGCGACGATCCAGCAAGCCTTGATTGATGGCGTGGATACGAGTCGCAAGAACATGTGCAGCGTGGGACGAATACATCATCCACTGGAGCTGCTGGCTGTTCGGATTTGTCACAAAGTGACTGCCAGGAAATGAAGCATGAAATTTTTCTGGTCTTAAGGAAATTCGGCCACCTCTAAGAGGGGCTGTATTTCGGAGTACCGGTTAACGTGACGGAACCACGAAATGTTGATCAGGTACTTAGTACCATCCTCCGGAACCCGAGGAGCGTCCATAGGGGTGGGACCCTCGCTGGTAGCCGCGATCCCATCCCTGCTCCTGATAGCGCTGTTGCTCTGCTCTGCGTGCATCAGCTTTGGCTTGAGCAATGCGAGAGCGTTCAGCGTTGCGTTGGCGCTCTTCGTATGCACGGCGTGCAACTCCGACCTGTACCGCGAATTTCCCTCGGAGCCACTCAGTCCAGTCCTCAGCAGAATAGCCGAGTCGTGGATCAACGTAGAGTGCCTCTTCTGAGAAAGTAACAATCATTTTCACGATTT